GAAAAGCAGGAGCACCAGCTGCGCTTTGTCCTTGCAGGCGCTGACAAGGATTGCGAGCCCCCTGTTCCGCTCGCAATGGCTGTAGGGGACTATGAGGAGGTTCTCAAGTACTACGAGTTACATGAAACCATTGGAACAGGTAGGATGGATCCGTGAATGCGGCAAGATGTGCGCGATGTGTCTAACCACTTCGGTGTTTTTGCAGTAACATTAATCTGCCCCCTGATAAGCCTGCAGGTTGTGTGTAGCACGTGTTTTGGGGGGCAGAGCTCTGCAAAAGTAATTGGAAGTTGGTAGCAGTGATCCCTTCCTCCTCTAATGCAGACGCTGCACGCTGTGCATGCAACATGCTCCAGTGTAACTGTGAGTTTATAAGCAAGCAAGCAGCGCTTTTAATGGGCTTTTTTATTGTTTTTTTTTTTTCTTTTTTTTTTTTTTTTTTTTTTTTTTTTTTAATTCTAGGTGGGTTTGCCAAGGTAAAACTTGCGCGACATCTTCTCACCGGTGAACAAGTTGCAATAAAAATCATGGACAAACTTGCTCTAGGGGTAAGCCAAAAGATATTTAAAAGTTGGTAGCATCTTCTGCTGTTCTTACTGAGTTCTCAAGAACGCAGGGGTGCAGTGTGTGGAAATGCTGCCTGCTTGTCCTGTTGGCTATTGACAGATGCTCTTGTCATGGTTTATAAAGCCACAGGGACAGTTTTTGCTAAACACCTGGTGGGGTGAGGCAGGGACAGGGAGGGTTTCACTCACTGCTTAGGGTCACAGGCAAGAAACTGACATGACTTGGGAAGAACAAGAAAACAATAGAATTTATTAACTATTTACAACAAGAAGCAAGATAATGAGAGAAGGAAAACCACATCTTAGGAAAGGCCCTTCTCCCCCACCCCTCCCTTCTTCCCAAGGCCCAAAGGCTTTGTTTTGTACCTTCTACCCCCCCTGGGAAGGTGGTGCAGGGGGGCAGGGAATGGGGGCTGCAGTCAGTCCACCGCTTTGTCCTACTCAGGGGAGGGCTCCTCACAGTCTTTCCTGGCTGCAACATCGGGTCCCTTATCACAGGAGAGTCCTTCTCAAGAACTACTCTGTCTTGAGTCCTTTTCCAAACGGGGCTACAGTCCCCTGACAACTACCTGGCTCCAGTGTGGGCTTCTCCATAGTTTCAGCATGGGGTCCTCCATGGCTGCATCTTCTCATGGCCTTCGCCAAAGGACAAACCGTGCGTCACCATGAATCTTCACCACGCTGCAGGGGAAATGCCGAGAGCGTTCCCTTTCATATCTCTGACCTAATGTCTGCATGCCTGTCTCCCTCAAAATCTTGCTCCTCTCTCTGCCAGAGGTCTTCATTGGCTCCCAGGAAAAACGGACTCTTGGGTGAGCCGTGACGGAGGCTTGGGCTACGGC